TTCTCCATACTTAATATACTATAAGATTGATTTCGTTAATTAAATGTTGTGCATAAACCTAGTCTTTGGATATGAAATAATTTCCGTGTCAATTTTGAAAGCAAATTATCGAAGAAGCCGACTAATTATTGAGTTTTTACGTGAAACTTTGGTGTCCTTTTGACCCTAAATTCAATTTAGTTATGTCTTGGCCCAAGAGAAGCCCAAAGATTTAAATAACTAGGCTCTTTCGCAACAGATTTATTGCACGAACTAACAGACGAACAAGGGTGCAATTTCAAAAAGGACCCATTGAGTAATCTCGACACATCTCGAAAGGTCCAAAACCATTTCGAAGGAACATTGGGAACGCAATAATGACGTATGAGTATGACTGTATGAGAGAACTTTAGAAAGAATAATTCGGGCCAATGTATTATATTTCAGTTATCTGATAAATAAAATTCCATGTGAGTGGATTTGTTTTCATGGACATTAACTTTAATCACATTAATGTAACTTAAGGTAACTTTACTCTTTGATATCGTATTTTTGACATAATTGATGATTTTAAGTCTTTATCCTCTTCCTTTTAAGTCCAAAACATACACAGAAAATTACCTATGATTCTAATAATCATATCATACCTACATATAATACCATGAGTAAAAATGGTTGGTAAATCTTGTTAAATAGAAACCTACACTTTTCATTACTTTTTGAAGCTTTTAAAACCTCTTTCTATACAATGTCAAAACGAAATGAATAGAAATACATATTTATCGAAGAATAAGGGCTAATTAAGTTTATAAAATAAGGGAAAGTACTTACAGATAAGGTTAGCTACGAGTCGTCCCTGTGTAAGGGTCTACTCACACAGAAAGGTATAAGAGGGTAGTAAATTTAAATGACAAAAAACCTCATTTGTTGGTTTACATGCGGTTCCCGCCAACCATCAGACAGTTCACATGCAATGGCTTTGTCGAAAATGTTATTATCCCTTAAGACATGAATTCTACAAAGCTATACAATTGACACCCACGATTTAGATTTAGTGCGGAACCAAACAAACGCAGGTAAAGTCCGGTGCATCTGAGATTTACTGTGGGCGACGATATTTTGTAATGTGCATTCCCATGTGGCGGAAGTTTCTTGAAAAGCTCTTGTCCCTTGTCATAGATAAGCTATCTTGCACCGACTGAATCCTGCTTTTAAGCTTGAAAGTTTTCAAACGTTAGATATGCCGTTCGCTTTAACGGAAAGAGGGTGTAGATTGTTATTTTTATGATACCACAAAGTTCGTGGGTAGTGGTCGTTTAGAAATCGAAAAGGTGGCTGAATAAATCAATCCGTTTTGTCTACTTAACTAAAATAATTTAAAAATATTGTTATCAAAAATGACAAACCATTTAAAATGAAAAGCTAAAATTTGTTCTCCACCCTTGCATGTTGACCTAAGTAATGCAGTTACATTATAATTTATTCTGGGAAAAATATATAGTTCTCCTTTACGATTGCATCACAGGGCCTTTACTTTTATTGTGAAGAAGAACACGGTAACACACATTGATACAGAAAGAAATGACACAAAAGACTTTTAATTTAATTTCTGCAAATTTGAAGGAAAAATTGTAGACGTACTTTAAACAATGACGAAATGGCTTGTAGACGATGTATTTTAATAGATAGATGTGGCAGAGAAATAGCCTGGTTGTATGTAAAGACTATTTATATTCCGTTAGAGCTTTCGACAAAACATTATAGCCTTCATCAGTAACGATTAACTATGATATTTAAAGAAATAAAGAAATAATTAAAAAAGATAAGTTACTGTGGAAGATTTAGGGAGCAATGGCTTAATTATACCTATACGTTAAACATTCACAGTAAAAAAGTAATCGTTAAAATAAAATAAAAATCTTCTCTTTTGGTTGTTGTAAATTTAATGACAAGAAATGCGACGAATAATAGTATACCATTAGGTATTATGTACCAAGGTTTGTTTAATCATATAGGAATATTATTAGACCGATATTAGACCGCCTCATAAGGTGCAAACCGAGGTGCTGTTAACTATAATTATGCGATTCTGCAATGTTAATGATGTGTATTTAGACGCCCGTCTGCAATTCCTAACTGGACGCTTTTTTAGTGCGGCGGCGGCGTTTGAAAATGGCGAAAAAAGCGTGTATACCTCGTGATGGGTACAAAGCCTGGTACAAAGTTATTTTTTTGGAAATGAAGACCGGAAAATATCGAAAAACCAGGAATCGCCACAGCAGACGATTCTGGCAAACGCCTTTTTTCAACAGACGTCGCAGAATTCCCGAATTTTCCGCTAAAACCTCGTGATAAGGTACAGAGCGGTTTTTTTGCTCAAACGAACTGCTACCAACTGACATACATGCTAAATGGTAGAAAATCAGCATTTATTGTTTGCTCTCTAATATAACATCAACTGGGGCCCGAGAAAATGATTTACTTGTTTTTCTTATTGAAAAGCCCCCTTCATCAAAGTTTCTTTAAATCCAGGATGGGTGGCTGCCACTTTAATAAGATTGTTGTAATCAGGGATGTAATACTTCAAAATCCATCTGCAATAATTTTTATGATTCACAGCAAACATTATTGTTGCAATATGTGGAAGGCAGTAAACAAACAGATCGAAGTTACCTACTACTTCTTGAAAACTGGAGGTAGAGCTTTACAAAGTTGATATAAGTGAAGAAGTATTTCGCTGTTTCTCCAAGATTTCCCAGTTCAGTTTGTTGGCAGTATGCATTGTAATATGCTCAAAGAATTGCAAATGACTTAGCAAATCATCATCTACCCGATTATTCAGTTGGATGGCTTCAAGTTCCTCTATTACTTCATTTAAGGGATATTCTTTTGTCGTCAAAACTGGCCTAAAATGTAAGATCTGCAAAGCTGTTGCGAATTTGTAATAGCAGATGTTTATGCATTCTAATGACACTTATCATTCTTATTCAAAATGGGATGTGGAGCACGATCTAAAATGATGTTCACAACACATTACAATTAGTCCAGGCTATATAATATTTTTGTATGAAAAAAATTAATTATCGGGCGAAACCGGGTTTTTCAGGCAGGTGGAATGAATAGAATTTGGGAAAAAATAATTAAAACAGCTGAATTTTTCCGCGGGTGAAATCCCGGGGGTTGAAAGGGGTGGAAGTGGTATTTTGCAAATTGTGGTAAAACTATTGATTTTAGACGAAAATGTTAAACGTAAAAGTTATAGAGATAAAAAAAATGAGCAACTTTTGTATCCGCACTATTTTCACATAATCTCCAATTTTCCTAGAAAAACCGGAAAAACTGTTTTTTTCGTTTTTTATTCTTATTTTTGCGAAAAAATGTCGTAGGGGTTTGAAATTTAGAGGTAACATAGTCTGTTTTATGATAAAACAGAAAATAATTGTTTGGGCCCATAAAGTTGAACCGTTTCCAAGATCTCACGATTTCTGAAAAAATCACCTCTTTTTCAAGGGGATGAAAAATCTATTTTTTTTTCATCGTACAGAGGTGCGTGGGGTAGCAAAATTTTCGTAACGACTTACATTTTAATAATCAAAAATAAAAAATATTATTCCAATAGGAAAATTTCAAGAAAAGCGGAAAAAACGGGGGGAACAGTTTTAAGATACACCGTTTTTGACAGTAGGTAAATAGGCTTTTTTGCAAATTAATTAACGTGTTGGATCCGCGCTAATAAAAAGTTTTGGAAATCTGTCTTCTCTCTCCTCTTTAATGTTGCTAAAATATTTTCTTTTGTTTCTCAGTGCCCAACTGCCTTAATTAAAACATCTTTATTGTTTCTTTTTTCTGCATTTTTACCGCAATAAAAGTAATTTGAAGTTTCACCTGCCTGAAAAACCCGGTAACTAATTTTTTTTGAAAATAAATCATTTTAGAGCTATTTAGCCTAAGCTTATTATTTTTTTAAGTCTAAATTAAATTCAGAAAACTTTACAATGATTTCTATGGCTTCTGCTATAAAATAAAGTTTTGCATTATACACAACGATCAAGGGAAACGCATATCGAAGACTTTGCACAAGAACTCGCAGAAAGCAACGTCTTTTCAACAATCGGCCTTGTGAAAGCCTATACAATCAGATTCCAGTAGCCGAAGAGGATATCCCGAAAACAGCAATCACCACGCCTTTCCCCCCAAGAACTAACGCAAGGATCTAAAAAATCTGAAGAAAGAAATATCCTAAAGATTTCTAACATTGTCCACTCGGAGGCAACCAGTAAAATGCCTTTTGAAGAATGCAGAACTCATAAATCATAGATCCGAAGAAATAATTTCATTGACTGGAAAAAATGTGAAGAATTGTTATTTTGTTAATATTCCCTTCCAAACTACATTATTGACATTGTCACTGATGATGGATGATGATGGAACAAGTAAAAAAAAACGAATATTCATTGAACATTGTACAGGGAGCATCTTTTATTACTCATTATGTCTGCATTATAAAAAGTAAAAAATTTTGATGCCAGATGTTGCGTAAGTAATCCTTTAATGATGATTAGATTAGGTACTCGCGTCGTGTATGCAAAGTTACTAATTATAGCATTGCTTAGAATTGCATGTTCAGTAATTATTATTTATTAGAAATATACGCTCAACATTACCTAGAATGTAAACGGTAATTGTGTCTAGTCTCGATGATTAATTGTAAGCAATTACTCAGTAAGTTTACTAACGATTGCATTCAAGTCGAAACTGAGCAATGATTATTTGGGTGCATCTTATCGAAATCTTTATGAGAAAATTGTCTATTAGAATAATAATGTTGACAGCAATTGCTAATATTATTGCATCCTCAAATTAAACGTAAATTGCATTAGTTTAGTAATGGCAGGCTTTGATTATGCTTGAGGAGTAAGTACCTGACGGATCGTATTTCAACAACCGCAATACAAACGAATTAGAAGTTTCCTATTCCAAACATCTAACTACGCCCTATCTTAATAATGATGAACACTTACCTTTACATAATCATGAAGGCGGTACATATTCTGGGGTTCCTTTATTGGATGCATAGTAATTGCGCTATGAATGTATTTTTGCTTCAAATTCCCAGAGAAGGCGTCAGTACTTTGATTATGATAAAAAATCACTTGCATCTGTAAAGGAGAATATATAAGTTGCTTTCTTCAGGTGTTTAGAAAAAATAAATATCAGGTGAACACAATTTTTAATTCAACATTATACACTATCAAGGTGTTACATGTAAGTATGTAAAAAATTGGATGGTAGAGGGGATCAAAATAAGCACTTTTTTCCAAATAAACCGAAGGTCCCAAACGTGTTTCGTTTGGGATCCACCCTCAAAAATTGGCATTTCTCCATTAATTTTAACCATAAGCGTTACAAAGCCTGGCGGCACGTATTTGAATGGGTTTTGGGTTTCGACGAAATTTGGTACCTGAGAGTTTTTGAACATGAACATTTTGGCAGTTGTACATTAGGCATACAGAATGTAAGACGGTCCAAAATTTTTGTTTTTAGTATCTGGCTTGAGCTAGGAAGCTGTTCTGCACCTGCTTTAATTTGTATAATTTTCATCCTTGAAATAAGAAGGCTATGGATATTGAACGCATATTAAAGTTAATTGAAAATGTTTAATTTTTCATTATCACCTACTTTTATACAAAATATGCATCAACACTAGCATCAACACAATAACACTTATTTAACGGTCAATCGTCCATTAAGCGACACAAAGACGAACTAGGTTACAGTTAATTAGGTACCAATCAAGACGAACTTAAAAAACTCGATCACGTCTGTAGATTACTTTTTCAACGGGAAATTGATAAATTAGAAAATTATTTCCCTTGCGTGCAAATTTTCTAAATATCGCGAGTAAGCCATTTCTTTAGTGAATTGACTATATTTGTGCATCTGTAGGTGGTTAGACTACCATGACCTCCTTTATAAGGTAATCAGTCAAAATGCAAGGTACACGAATCCCTCTTTCGTAATTATAACGAAAACAAAAAATTAAACAATAATTGTTTAATTGGAATTACTTATAAACAGTAAGGTCTTTTTATTCAAAACACATTACCGTGTAAATCGAGTTTAAAGGTGAACAAATTTAAATACTTAATAATGAGCATTTGCATTACAAAAACCTCTTGAAGAATTATAAAAACGGAAATTTAATTATTTTACATTGTGATGGCTCATTAAAGGACATAGCAAACTGCACACGTACGTGTTCCCTGCCTCTTGCTTTACCTTGAACGCTGGCAAAAAACCGATTTCGCAAGTAGAAGTAATTAATAAATGGGTAACCTATAAGGGTGACAATCAGAACTATATTTTAAATGTCACTTATTTCAGTTTTAATCCAAAAGCCTCCAACTATTTTGTATTATAGTGACACCACGCACAAATTTTCTAAAAATTAGATATTTTCTGGCGCAGAGTTTAGATAGAAGATTGATCATTGGAAAACGTCGCTTGCCTTATATGGAAAGTTTTACGACAATTAGGGAATGCAATACCGGGATCGCGGGATCCCGAAATACCGGGATCCCGCAGCATTTTTTCGGGATTAATCCCGCACATAAATGGAGAGGGATCCCGCGGGATTTGCGGGACTGAGGAATTTGTCGACCAAGGGGACGACTCTGTTTACTTTGTTAATGAAACGCATAACGGAGAAATTATTTTTTAAATAATTGTTAAACTTTTTTCGTTAAAATGTACCTACTATGATTTTTGAGGCACCTTAGAAGTTCACCTTTTTGTGCTTTACGGGTGAGGTTTTTTTGAGCTTGAGTTAGGCTGAAGGTACTTTTTTGTTAAAAATTGTGATAATTAGCGATTTATTTTAATACAGAAGTTAACCGTACAGAATTGCTTATTTGGCAATTTATTTAAAGTTTTGCGGGATCCCGCAAATACCGGAATCCCGCGGGATTAACATCTAACAATCTCGCAAATACCGGGATTGAGATTTTGCTGCGAGATTGCATTCCCTATCTGAGACAATTTTTCTTCGGGGCAAAAAAAAAGGCAGTGTATAACCTTCCTTTTTTACCAAAAAATCGACTACACCAAAATTTCTCGGGAAAACACTTTTTCGTAGTAATTTTGGTGCGTAGACTCCAAAACAATTCGTACTTTTTTGATTAGACTTCTCAATCAAAAGTTATAGACTAGAAACCAATTTCGAAAGAATATTCAAAAGGCTGTAACTTTTGAACTAGTAGCCCAATCTTGGAACTGTTTGAAATTATGGATTCTACAGGCCACATTGTATATTGTATACGAAAATTCCCTAACGACAATGGATTCATCACGGTTACGTATATTGCAGTGCAAAAATGAGAGCTGAGCTATTATTGAAGGGTCGCAGTAAGACTCTTGTTTTTAAGTATATAGCCGGCGGTACGCGTCAACTCGCCAAGGGCGACTCGCCGCCGGACCACTCGCCACTGACCGACTCGCCAACGGGACAACTCGCCACCGCGACAACTCGCCAATGCGACAATTCGCCAACGAAATGTTTTTCCCTGTTTGACTAATTAAAATATTGACTACAATTTTTCGATACACTTTTTTTACAAAATTAGGGAAATTGACTATTGCATTTGTGGGATGCATTTGTATGACACATTAAACAGGGAAAAATATTTCGTTGGTGAGTCGTCCGTTGGCGAGTTGTCGCGTTGGCGAGTTGTCCCGTTGGCGAGTCAGTCGGTGGCGAGTTGTCCCGTTGGCGAGTCAGTCGGTGGCGAGTGGTCCGGTGGCGAGTCGCCCTTGGCGAGTTGACCGTGTCCCATAGCCGGTTAGCCGCTTCTACAGAGCCAACGAAAAAACAATTATTTTAAATGTAAGCATGGCCTACAGGTATTAAAGCTCCGTTGCGATTTAAGGTATGGCCTATAATTACCTACATATTATGGGGTTCTGAGATTTCTCCTTTTTCAATCCAGAGAAACGGGCGACTGCCACGAAGACATGAAAGGCGATTATGTATTTGACTGTGCTGAAGTTTATTCCCGAAGCGAAGATTCAATTATCGTTATGCACAATGTGAAATACCGCCCACAAGCGTAACAGTTCCCAACAACATCCCGGAAAAAAGGTAACATAAAAGAATGGCAGCTTAATAACGAACATATATCGTATATCATATAACTCTACCACCAGAAAACGTAATATTTCAGTGCTAAAGTTCCCGCCCTATCCTTATAAATCAAACACAATCGAGTAGGTTTGGGCCCAAGTAAAATAAAAAGTGATGAGAAAAATGTTTTACAAAATACGGAAAAGAAGAACAAAAACCGTTCTCTTAAAGGACATGCTACAGTCAGTAAAGCGAGATTTTTTCTTTTTTTCAAAATTTGGGGGGGTTGCAGGGGGAATTTTTGGTAGGATTCATCTACACGAAAAACATAAAACCAACCTATGTCCAGAACTACCATGAATTTTGCATCCTAAAACTATACAGAGTGCCCCAACGAGAAGTATACAGAGAGCTTTTAGGGTATTAAATTTAGAAATTTCGAAAAATCCTCGAACACGTCAAATGCGAATATCTCCAAAACGAATCAATAGAATTTAAAAAGCAAAGCAGATTAGTAATCACGATTAAATTGGCTTTCAAATAATGTGCCATTTGCCATAGGATTCCATTTAAAATTTTAAGGGTTAAGCTCCCTACGTAGAGGGGTGAAGACTTGGGTTCGTGATTTGTATTCCAAAAGTTGTCCCCCTCGAATACAAAATTGACGTGTTCGAGGATTTTTCGAAATTCCTAAATTTAATACCCTAAAAGCCCTCTGTATATTATTTCCTTAACTATAACTACAATAAACGTTGGACAGGCTCGCGTGTTTTTAGTAGATTTTTCAACGACCCTATCTAAGTACAGTACCATCGTATAAACCCTGTAAAAAGCTTCAAATTTTACTGCTAGTGACTCTCGTCTGAGCTTTAGACGGACATAATTCGTGTCTTTTTAAGATTTTCTAGATGCAATTAATATTCCCCACCTGAAAATCCTAAAGAACGACAAAGAATTTATTTGAAAGTCCAAATTATCCACTTGACTGGTTGACTGGTTGAATTTATATTCAATTTTATTTAAAAAAAACATTAGCTAATAGAACATTGTGGGCGCATATTAACATTTTAGATACGTTTCAGGATGAACACTTCCTTTCATTTGGAAAATTTTGAGAGTAACTAAATATTTTTCCCTGAAGTCACAAATACTCAGGTTGAAAGTTGTGGAAACGTTAGCCACCAGAAAAAATTAAAATCAACTCACCTCATATGCCCACGTACAAGAAATTCCAGTAAATTTCCTGACGCATCTCCCAAGCTCAACATCTTCATGGTTAGAGTAAAGATTCCTAAGACATTCCTCAATATTCGGCACGATGCGTTTTAAGGTGTCCCTACTTAAAATAATACCCGGACCACCCATGCAGTAATTCTCGTTCCTTTTCAGAGCCAAGGACCGAATTTCGTGGGGTTTCCCTCTTCCGGCCTGACCTATAAACCACGGTTTGTTGCTGTCGACGGATCTCAGTAGTTCTTCCAGTCGGTCTGTTCTCACGTACAGATCGTCGTCGGCTCGAAGAAACCATTCGTACTTGTCAATGTAATTGTCGTGCATGTACTTCAGCATCGCAAACGATTTCCTTTGGGGCGGGTAGTTATCGTCAATGCCGGACAGTGGGATGAGAGGTAATTCGTTGCTTCGCGATTCTTCCGAGCTGAAGAAGAGTATTTTTCCAGGCACATTTTTGCCCCAAGTTTCGTAGACCGCTTTCGCGCGCGTATTTACGTATTTTTTTGCGGTCATTACACCGGCCAGTAAAAATTCATTCGTATCGTTAATTACACTTTGGATATATTCGCCACTATCGTACACGTCATAATTCGCAACACACGAGCTAACGTTCTTCCGCGTCTCGCCGTTTTGTTTAAACAACGACGTCGAGATAAGTCCGACAATTACACCAATAAACAGTTTTAAAATTTTTCTTTTTCTTGCCATAATTTAATATCACTGTTTTAAAACACTCGCTAATTTCCATCGTTAACTTTTATTTAGGTCTATACCATATTTGATTGTCATTAGTTTAATATGTAAATTAGAAGTAGTTCGTATGCGCCTGGTAAGCGTCGTGTTAATACTATAAAATAATCCTTCATTCTGCATCAACCTCTGAACTTTGTGCCATCGCGCATACATGACATTGGGAGATTTCTTTGTAGATTTGCTTCGTTTTGTTATTAACAAATATCTCAGATCGATCTTTCGAAGTGTGTCGCTATTATTCGCCCATTGACAAATTCCAATTCAACGTTGTATCTGTAACACCACAATTTTAGATAAAATGTATTAGCGGTCGCCGATAATGATAATGAGGTCAATTTTTCCGCATCGATTGTAATCAATTTCTATTTTTAGCTGCGTGTGCAGTTTTTCTGAATAATTTTTGGCTCATTGATAGATAGATACAGTACATAAAACCGAGTTTTTCCATGTGAAAAATTGGAGAGAATCACGTTTCTCATTGAATTATTCAAAATTAATAACAAAATAAAGGTTTTTTTTCGAAAAAGCCCTCCCACTTTGACTTGCAGTATAATGGTTTTTAATCTACTTTGAAAAAGAGAAATGCAAAGCGGCAGTAACGGTGAGAGATGCAGGTAATATTTTTGAAAATTCTTTGAAAATAACTGAGATATTAACGAATAACTGACAATGTCAAATTTCGATTCCATTTTCCCTAGTTTAAGCGGTCGGAAATGGACGGTTCCAGTTAGCACCTTCTATGGGCACTTTTCTTCGGAATTTCCATAGCACGCTAGATGTAGAGTTTATCTACTTTCTTATTTCTTAATGGGCGCCTGTTTACGAAATCGGCTGTAATTAGTGCCCTGAGACTGTAGGCTGACTGTATCCTGTACCTTTGAGCCAATTACGGTGGTCAATTGGTCATCAACATGGACAAGAGAAAACATCATAGGTGGTATCGTTGCAGCAGCAGTAGGTAGTAGCAGTTTCGAGGGTTCGAGAAAGAAGATTTGGCAAGCCACCACCAAGCAACCCTATGAATTTGTACAACGTGCACGTCGTAGATACGTGGCGAAAATCAATTATTTTATTATCAGTTTATTAACATTCATTTATTGATAAGTGGTAAACTTAATGTATTTTCGTATAAAAGAGAAGTGCATCAGCGCAAAAGGTCATACACCTAACCTACTGTAAATGAGCCATATAATGAGCGGCTGATTACGCATTTGGAATTTTTTTTCCAAACCTACTTTCGTATTTCCCACTTCAGTGATTTGTTTCAAAACTCTAAAATTCACGAAATGATTACAGGGTGTATAATCAGGAATGGAAGAAGTCGAGGAAGTAGTTATATATGAAAAAATACAGCATCTTCAATTGTATAAATATGATCTTTTGGCGATAAAAATGTTGTGACTGAGAGGCGGATATCATTTTGAATCTTACTCTCTCTTTCTCACAGTTTATGAATGAGAATTCTGACTTATAATCTCGAAATTTCCGGTTTTATTCCAAATTTTCCGATTTGGCACACTTGCTATTAAACGTGTTATTGCTTTAAAATTTGCCACAATTATGGTTGACCAGTTATCTGGCAATCCCGTCCACCTGTCCATTTTCTTCTCTCTTCGAGACGTTTTGTTTGATTAAACCTCCACAATTACCCTCAGAATGTACATATTCTTCGCAGTCCAACTTCTGTATAGCCTTAAGGGCCCCCTATATTTTTAGAGTTTGCTTGCACGCAAGCTTACGTAACCAAAAGACAAGACGGTGGAAAATTAAGTCACAACCTTGGAAAAAATTTGGAATTGTTGTGTATCCAGAAACTCCAACATTATTTTTAAACTACGGAAAACAAAAAAAAAGTGAGTTAGGATACCGTTAACAGAAAATAGTTACATGCATGAGTTTACCGTAATTTGGAACCAAACAGCCTGTTCTTAGAGTTACGAAGCAGAAGTAGAACAACCTGTATATCAAAAGGTATCATACAACAAAATCAAAATAAAAAAATTAAAATCCTAAAAAACAGAAACCTTCCCCCCAGAACCAAAAGTTCAAAAAAGTGAAACAGGGTTAAGGATTCGTGTGATCCCCTCCCCCTTTCCAAGTTATATGAGGCGCAAAGGAGCTTTCTATAGGGTAGTCAATGAGAATAATTGAACACCATGGAAGACCATATGAAACAAAGGTAAGTTAGAGGCCCTATACTTTTAACAGAAGTTGAAGAACATTTTTTGACGGCCTTTTAGCTGCGGATTCACTAATTGCCTTTGATGTGCGTGTACTGGTCAAGAGGTATCTAGATAGGGATGCTAAATTCTTAGCCCGTTAGAAAAACTTGCTACAACATAAAACGCTGTCGTACAGAAAAATCTATTGACAAAATACAACAATATTTTGCAATATTGAAAATCAAATTATAAGATGTTTCTTCTAGCAGTATTCTGAATTATGACGAGATAAATCTCTGTGACAACTTAGGCCTAAGGAATGAATTTTTAGAAGAAGAATTAAATACCCACAGCAAGTTATGAACACGTTCAAAGCATCCATACCTATCTACAGGGTGTTTTTTAGGAGATCTAGTTAAAGGCAATAAAAAATAAAAAATAAAATAAAAACTTTTCTGAGAAAGTGAAATAGGTAGGGTTTTGAACTCCTAAGTACAAATTACCAAAGTACTCTAGAAGGACGAATCGATGTAAAATATTTTCAAAATAGTAGCACTTCCGAAAATACTGGAAACAGCTAGTATCTTCATTATTTTAAATGGTAACCCCTATTTTTTATTGCATGTCGATATCTAGGTACAATTTATGGTTTTAAATTATTTTGACTTTAAACAAAAATGGCGGATGCAGTCGGTAACTCGAAAATTAATTTTTTTATTAAAAGTCACTTAAATTGAAAAATTAATTAAATTAATTACTTGAAAGTCCAGTTATTTTTTAGTGTACTTAAAAAAAATTAAGTTGCGTACGACAGCATCTATAGACTACCAGTCAAAGAAATTTCAGACTAAAAACTCAGCCTTTTCAAATGAAATGACCATTTCCTTACTATTGCATTTGAATGCTGTCCAGAAACGTCGGATACTGAACAATTTGTAACGATTCCTCCAAATTTGGACCTCGTTGCAGCTGATGCACAATACCATCATGTATGTCAGAGGAAGTTGTTTCTCTGCCTTCAGAGTGTAAGAAATGCTATGGGCCGTATCCCACAGTGGAGACGGAGATGGAAGATATTTATTAATTCCTTGAGAATAATGAAGAATATCAATTTTCACTCGATCAGTTGAAGAGTCGCAGGCAAAGGTGAATATCAGATCGATTCAAGAACAATTAAAATCTCGCCTACTGGAAAAGTTCGGGGAAAATACTCTAATTATTGTCGGCACACTCAAAGAAACGAAAAACTGTTTGAAAAATACAGGATATAAAATACCCACTGACAACTGGTACAGTACCATGAAATCTCCTGATCGCGAAGGAGAGAGATTGAGAGTAGCAGCAGCCAAAATTTTAGAAGATATTCGACCTCAGGTGTAAAATAAGACTGAATATCCGCCCACTAACAAATTTTTGATGTTGAAACGGTAATTCCACAAACTTGCGCGCTCTCATGGCCACCGTTATAACAAAGAACAAGAAAGTTTGTCAAATTTCTGGACAATGTTTTTTTTTTAAATTTTTTTTAAGTGCATATATCGACAACTATCAGTCCTAGAAACAAAATTTAAAAACGTACATTATAGGAAATTTAATTCTCTACAACATTGAGTAGAAGGGTGGTACACAGATAGGACGAACGATAAAACAAGAAAAGACGAGAATTGTGGAAACCGCGGCGAGAATCATCCACCAAGAAATACGGTCCCAAGTTCCACCTATCCAGCAGCAGATCAAATATCATCTGGAAATGAGCTCTACAACTGTTCTTTAAACTCGGAAATCGTTCTATGAAGACAAAAAGAAAAGCCCCAACAATCGCACATTCGATAGTTGCTGCTTATATAAGTTTTAAATATTGTTGGAGAAACCGAGCATTAAGAGCACATCAAATTGATGAACGTGTAAACGACACCTTAGTCTCGTATTTAAAAAAACACTAGAAACCCATGAATGTCTGGGGAAGGTATAGCAGACCAAAGAAAAGACGTTGAAGAGCACCAGGACAATGGGTGTCATGTGAAGACTTCATGATGAAGAAAATAAGGAGAATGAGCAACCGTCGTATAAAGGAATCTTTGCAGGTCTACCACAAAACCCCAATAAAACATTAAATATGGCAGGATTGAAGTAAATATGTACAGTCGTTTAGAACGAGGGTGCCATTAGACAAATTTACAAAAAAAAGTTATTAGATAAATAACTTAATGATCACAAAACTTGACACTTCTCCTTTAAAGTAATACAGTATGACTTTTACACGAAAATACAAAACAACCTCTGTAAAAAGTACCACGGTAATTTAAACGTTTAGGTATTCCCTATTGACGGTGGCTTTTGGTATTTTTAGAGCAGATTACTAATTATCTCCTTCTTTTTGTGTTTGCATCTTGGGATTATTACATTTACCTTTGGACATTTATTTCATAATAATCGCTCTTCTTGTTTTACCCACCCTTTGCACTGTGATTCGTCTGGAAAATTAACTGCTTTATCTTTCTGTTTTGAATTACTCTGTTATCCCTCTTTGATAGCCACTCGTGTGGGTACTATTTAGACCGGAACCTCTATTTTGTGCCAATACAATGAGAATTCAGTTACAGTCACAGCTGCCTTTAGTCGAAGAACAGGTAAGGTGCCGCCCGACTGCTCGTTTGGCATACAGAAAGTTCCAGAAGAGGTTTACCCATAAATGAAACCCTTTTTTATAGTACGTTACAGCAAATTTTCGCTTAAAATTTGGAAGACACTTGAAAAAATTCCCAACCCCTTATTTTTGTTGTAAGGTAGAACAAAGTAAAGTGATTTTTGTAAGTTTATAGAATAGTGCTTATTCTATTACAATTGCATTACGTTCAGTTCTTCTATTATCGTTCCGTAATCAAGCTCCTTCGGTCTCTTATTCACGACCTGCTTTAATGCGTTTGTCCACTACACAGTGGGTGCTTTCCTTATATATTATTACAGAATTTTTCTTAAGAGCTTGCTCTATACCTTCATAAACATACACGCATGACGCCGCCGCCTACGATGCCTGGAATGCAATACCCGTGTTTTTTCATAAGTCTCTTCTCTACGGCTCAGAATACAGTAATGATCATAAAACCTTTTTTGTAGTGAAGATTTTTTTCAAACTTGGCTGATGAAAAGAAGTGAGAGAAGTGCGGGAAATTTGATTTCAAAATTAAGAGGTTAGTGTACAACGAAAATGTGCAGAACTATCGCCGAATCCCGAAGAACAACCCCTGAGGTCTTGAGAAATGTAATTTGAAATTTGAATTGGAATAATATAATAATAATAACAAATAGTATTTATTGTATTAAATAGAGAAAGAATATAAACATTTACAAATTTGTTGGGGGTTGCAACTAGCACAGGGTTAAAGCTGCACGAACTATTTTTGTATAAAAGTCGACCGGTTTTTGGATTTTTGTAAAAGTGTTTATTTTGCCCAATATTAGGTGGGCACAAATTTTTGTTGGAGTACCTTGTATTAATGTAAAACCCGATATGCACTAGTAAAAAATATTTTGCATTAAAAAGGGAGGGCATTTCATTTTTGTTAACTTGTGACACCCCATCTCTTGCCAAAATTGTAAAATAATTTAGTTCCATGTTTCCAGGTGTCAAACCACACAAATAATTTGGAATTTACACAAAAAATTGTACGTTGATCGGTGGGTCAAAATCTAGACCATCCTTGATTAAAGTCCAATGTTAATTTAATGAATAGGTAGTAACTTGTAAAAAACAGGTTATCCAATAAAAAAAGCGTACCAACATCACTTAATTCTTTGCACAAAATCACAAGTAATAACTACACATTTACGACGGACGTCCTTAATTAATGTTAAGTATTTCCGAAAAAAGTGCCTAAACCTGTAATGGAACTACATGTTTGTTATAAGACCGCGCGAACAAACAGCATGATTTATGACAAGTGTGACATTCCTACTTTTCACATATTATATGTTAAAGATATTATTATGCAACATCAATGTCCTTTAACCTTGAAGGTACAGGTGTAATGTTTATTTATCTGGAAGGTAGATGAATAGTCATTGCCTATTGAATTTCTGTTTGTTGACTTACCTACTTAGAACACAGCTTTAATTAACGATCATTCAAATATGAGGACGTTATTCGGAATGAATTCATGACTAATACGTTAAATGTATGTCGGCAGTCAAAACGTTAAATAATGTCACTTAACTGTAATTTAATATGAAAATTGTAACGAGCACCCAACTTGTAATTACATCTATTCGTCTGAAATAAGTAGGATAATTTGACGTTTTACACCTTTTTGTATTTAAATTTCTAATTTTCAACATTCTGTGCAGCTGTTATTTTGTCAACTTTGTTCATAAAAGTCTCGCTATCAACGTTTCAGTCGTCCGTTCCGAAATTTCAACCATAATTATCAAGAAATGTATGCGAAATTTTGAAATCCTCACCTAAAAATTCATCTATGAACAAAACTTATTATAAAAAGTGATAGCAGTTTGAAAAATATCTACACATTAGAAATAGGGTGACTAAAACCAGTAGAAGATGTTTGGTCTTCATCAAAGGACCTACGTAGTCATCGAGTACTAACTAAAATAGCGCCAAGGGATGAAATAGAGGCCATGCAAATACGGGAGAATAATCCAATTTAACCTTTTGAATTTGCATTGCTTTCAACAGGTGTCATGGGCCGCTGCAGGTGCTACCATAAACTTTTTTGCACTACGCCTCCCATCGCTTTATAATATTAAAAAGTACCTATTGATTGAACATATCAAACTGTCGTATATTTACGTGAGGTGTCTATTGTTCAAGTGTTAAACGAGTACTGAATGGGGACTCGACATAAAAAATCATCAACAACAAAATTAATACGCACAATAATGATAAAGACCATCCATAAAAGTCACTTTTCAGTTGATTGCTTATGATTACTGCTGTGTTATTTTTATAATTTTGAAAAATTCAGATTCTAACTCGGATTCTAATAGTTTTACTGATTTTATAGCAATTATAAAAGGACTCTGAAAGAAGAATTTACAATCCTCAGGGACACAAGCCAATAACAAAAATAAAACGTACTTCTTGTAATGCCATTTTCAAATTTTCACAATAATTTAACGTGATTTAACTATATGACTAAAAATGTAATGCCGAAGGATTTTAACACAATTTTTCACTTAAAAAAACAAGGTATACACGTACGAATATTATTTGATAGTATACGTAATTTGACGACTGAAAAACTAAATATGTTAACTCTAGAATAATGCATAAAAATTAGCCATAAAATGCTAAGTACACGAAAAGTCCGTCACAAGCTCACATGTACATAGTAATAATAATTTTTCCCATATAAATGTACCTACAAATACTATAAAGGTACCTAATCTACATAATCGAATTTTCTACAAAATTCTGCACGGGATTGAGGTTTGATCACTTCCGCCTGTACCTTAACGACCCACAGTATTTTACTACCTGAAGAACTTGTTCAATTTTTACTTTTTCAAGTCTTCCAATTTTATATAAAAATATCGCGCGCACCGTTCCACTAAATTAATAATAATTAAATGTGTCCCTGTTTCTTCATACCTTCTACTTTAAACAATTTAAATTCATACTGTCTAGGAGATGGGGTGATCAGTAATTTTACGCGATTATCTTCATTCAGTTTAAATTGGTTACAAACCTTTCTTAATGCATAAATTGTAGATCGCGCGATCTTTTCGTCTAATATAAATTGGCACTCTTTTTACGCGCTTGCCACTGAAAGTATGTGACCTTTTTTTTTGTATTAACCAAAACTGAACTTGAATCACTAGTTTAGAAACTCGCAGAACTGTACACGGTCGGTGGCCTCAACAAACTGCCGGCATTGTGTATAAGAGAGGCTTCCAGTGGAAGCTGTCAGGCCCCGTAGAAACTACTTTAGATGAACTAAAACCAGATCAAGATCGGCATGAATGCAACAAAAAAATTTTAGATTTGAATGATCTTTGGTTAGGGGGACTCTAAAACGGAGACAATTTTTTTCGTGGGCTCGTTTCGTTTTGTTCTTTTACTGTCTGTCTGTCATCTGGGCACGAGAACGGTGATTGGTGCATTGTAAAATTTGGCGATCGTCACGTGCCTTTAATTAGTGCTTTACGCTCACTTACGTAAGCTGATGGAACCTTCAATTTTTATCGTAAAAACAACGTTCGACAATTAGTTTTTTACATACGTTACTTACGATTAAATTTGATTAAGCAGAAATATTAAGTACGTGCTTATCTTCCTACTTCTTTGTCGGCTTTGTTAATATTGTTAATGAACCTAGCGCAATTTTGTATTGACCTTGATTATTGATTGTTTCGGTTTGCCACCGCTTAATATCTATGGATATAAACATAAAACATTAATTTACAATTTATGTGCAGTAAATTTGAAGATTTTTTAAGCAGTTTTGCATAAGAGTATCGCCTATTTACCCCATCAAATATTATGGCAATCGGAGCAGGTGAAAATCAGGTCATGGCAATTTTATTAGTGCATAATGGAAAACCCTAAATCAATCAAGAGGTCATTTCATTACGATTAATTTGTTGATATAATATTTATGCATTTATCATAAATATAAACTGCAGAGTGTAATGCTTTTTTTTTAGCTTAATTAAATTAAATAATGATCATATTCACATGCGGTGGAAGATTTTTTTATTTTATTTGGTGGAATAACGCCATCGCCTGTCGGCTTGGTGCATAATGAGCAATTAACAACCAACAAGGTTCATGTTATCTCAGTACTGAATATTAAACAAATCGTGGAGATGTTTCGCTGTGCCATATTCGAAATTTCCATTAAAAAGTCTCTAAGTGATGTGTTATTTAGAAATGCCTAGTACGATTAGTTTACCATGAAAAAATTAAAAACGAAAATCAGAAATTTTTCGGGGCTCAAAAAAGGCAGTGTATAACCTTCGTTTTTTACCAAAAATCGACTACACTAAAATTTCTCGGGAAAACACTTTCTTATTAATTTGGGTGCCTAGAATCCAAATCAATTCGTACTTTTTCGATCAGACTTCTCAATCAAAAGTTATAGACTAGAAACCGATTTCGAAAAAAAATTCAAAGGGCTGTAACTTTTGAACTAGTAGCCCAATCTTGGGACAGTTTGAAATTATGGATTCTACAGGCCACATTTTATAAGAAAATTTTTTGTCCGGGTCGATCTGGGACAATTTTTTTTTCGGGGCTTCAAAAAAGGCAGTGTATAACCTTCCTTTTTTACCAAAAATCGACTACATCAAAATTTCTCGGGAAAACACTTTTTCTTATTAATTTGGGTGCGTAGAATCCAAATCAATTCGTACTTTTTCGATCAGACTTCTCAATCAAAAGTTATAGACTAGAAACCAATTTCGAAAAAAAATTCAAAGGGCTGTAACTTTTGAACTAGTAGCCCAATCTTGGAACTGTTTGAAATTATGGATTCTACAGGCCACATTCTATAAGAAAATTTTTTTTCCGGGTCGATCTGAGACAATTATTTTTCGGGGCTCAAAAAAAGGCAGTGTATAACCTTCCTTTTTTACCAAAAATCGACTACACCAAAATTTCTCGGGAAAACACTTTTTCTTATTATAGTACTAGCGGTATAACGGAAATTCTTGAAAGATACTGCATTTTTTTATTCCAAGGTGCCACTTGGTACAGTTGTTCCTTAGAGCCATTTAAACGATTTGACCCGAAGAACACCTGACATTTTCCGTGTGGGTAGATTTTAGAGGGGTTGGGGATGATTTATTGTAACATTTTTTTAAAAACTAAATATGGCCTAGAGACGAGATCTGGGAGACGATTTCGCATGATTTTAACCCGAGGAATCCAATGGTAGCGCCAGAAATGTAATCCGGATACAGGAAGTCCGTGAAAAGCCGCCATTTTTAGAAAATGACAGACTTTTGATCGAATTATATTTCTAAGGCACACCGGGTCGTGTAAGGTGTCTCGAGTTATGTTTTTGGGGTCAGGGAATTCATTTATGATAACAAAAATAACCTACTGGCATCGGAACTGCATGAAAGGCTTCCCTACTGCACTTTTTGAAGACGTCGCACGCGGTGAAATCCAAGATAATCCAAAGTTTTAATATATAAACTTATATTATTTTATTTAATAGAAATACACATTAACAAAACATAAGATATATTAAAACATGGGGTAAAAAATGTATAAACCTATGAAGAATCATCACCAGCGTTATCACCACTGAAAAGGAATTTTGCATATAAGGTTCGGTAGTAAATTATATCGAAAGTATACAATATTCTTACCCTTTGTTTGAGCAATCTCCCATACATTTTTGGCATGCAGGGGAACATGGTAATCCGTGTCGCCGCAGAAAGAGGTGGAGGAGCACATATGGAGGGCGGCGTATGTCCCTGGCCATATCTGGGGATGTGCAAACCAGGTGATGAGAAGCTCTACAAGTCCAGAAGGATGGGGATGGACTTTTGAAGCCAAAGGCTGGAAGGTTCTGTAGTCCAAGCTGCCACAAGTATGGAAGGCAGTCCGTGCTCTGGACAGGTGTGGCTGCGAGACCCTTCGGTGCAACTGCCGGCGACACGGATTGCCATGTTCCCCTGCATGCCAAAAATGTATGGGAGATTGCTCAAACAAAGGGTAAGAATATTGTATACTTTCAGATATACCTAATTTACTACCGAACCTTTAATATTTATACCGGGTGAATATTCACAAAACGAACATAGGGAATTAACATGGGAAAAGGGGTTTTTGTAGATAGTTGCTCCCCATGTTAACTTAGAGGGTTGATCATGACACCAATCGAAAGAAGATTTTTTCTTCGTCTAATGATATACGAATTAGCTCATTTTCATTCTCACTGTATTATCAAAAACTCGAGAAATCCACTTACCAAAATCATGTTTAGCCATGACTAAGACAAAAAGCAGATTCAAACGTCGAAATCAATATCAGTTCATGACACCTGGCATTAATTTTTTTGTAAAATGCGGTTCACTGAGGAAAAAGTATTTATAATAAACAACGTATACAGCGGAAATATTTACTCTAGTACGTAATATTTGTTTTCCGTGCATGCGAAAACCTATTTCAATTCGTTAGGAAATTTCCATGGCTTAACATGATTTTGCTAATTGGATTTATTGCCGAATTTTGATAAAATAAATTAAACAAATATAGCAAACGAGCTCCTGGGTATGTCTATAGCATGTGCGAAACCAAATTTTAAACATGATGTTAGTTTTGCTTTTATTTAAAGTGCATATGTATCAAATTTTATTTAAATGCCTCCATAAATAAGAAAGTTGGCACTGCGCATGCGCAAAACCAAATTTTGAAACTGGCGTTAAATTTGCTTTTATTCCAAGTGGCTATGTATCAAATTTCATTTAAATACCTTCATAAATAAGAAAGTTTGCAATTCGGTCTGTAAATGGTCGAAATGCGCAAATGGCACTGTGAATGCTTATCGATTAGGCTCATCTTTTGGAATTGTGTTTTATATGGCTAAAGCTATGCGCATATTCAATTTCATGCAATTCGGTTCATAACTAACGGAGATGTCAAAAGGGCCTACTTTATTTTTTGGGCTACATTGCCAATTCACGAACTCCGATCTACAAATTTGATAAAGAATCCACCTGCAAAATTTCATCGTAATCGTTTCATTCGTTTATGAGTTATCGTGCTAACGGACGGACGGACGGACAGACACCGCAAAATTATAAACTCGCTAGGAGCTCGTTAATAATGAGAAATACACCTGAAAATAAGCTAATTCGTATATCATAAGATGAGAAAAAAATCTTCTTTTGATTGGTGCCATTACAAACCCTCTAAGTTAACATGGGGAGCAATGATCGGCAAAAACGTTTTTCGCATGTTAATTTCCTACGTTCGGTTTTAAAATATTCACCCGGTATGTGAAATTCCTTTTCAGTGGTGATAACGCAATCTCAGAGGAGGTCAGCGATGTACTTGGTGATCCTTCATAGGCTTATAAATTTTTTACCCCATGTTTTAATATATTTTATTTTTCATTTGCCTATTATATGTCAATTATATCTGTCATATGTGATATATACAGCAGTCTATTACGCCCAAGGGCATAATGAGAGGGCATAATGGATTGTCATCTCATTATGCCCTCAAACGGCCTGTCAAATTGATTGACGGAGTTATATTATGTAATAAAAAAGATGCAACTTGATTCGTATGAAGCATTTTAATGTTGGGCAAACAACAATCATGACATTTGTATATTGGAAATGCATTCTTTGGAACGATGAAAAATAAAATGTTGTATGCACCTCAGGCATTACTCAATATTTAACCCTCGGGCGACATACAATCCCTCGGGCCGGAGGCCCTCGGGCTCTGTCGCCCTCGGCATAAATATCGCCTTAATGCCCTTGATGCATAAATAACTATTATGTTTTGTTAATGTGTATTTTTATTAAATAAAATATTACAAATTTATATAGGTATTAAAACTTTGGAATATCTTGGGTTTCACCGCGTGCGATGTCTTCAAAAAGTGCAGTAGGGAAGCATCTCATGCAGTTCCGATGCCAGTAGGTTATTTTTGTTATCATAAATGAATTCCCTGACCCCAAAAACATAACTCTAGACACCTTACACGACCTGGTGTGCCTTAGAAATATAATTCGATCAAAAGTCTGACATTTTCTAAAAATGGCGGCTTTTCACGGACTTCCTGTATCCGGATTACATTGCTGGCGCTACCATTGGATTCCTCGAGTTAAAATCATACGAAATCGACACCCAGATCTCGTCTCTAGGCCATATTTAGT